GAGAGAGAGAGAGAGAGAGAGAGAGAGAGAGAGAGAGAGAGAGAGAGAGAGAGAGAGAGAGAGAGAGAGAGAGAGAGAGAGAGAGAGAGAGAGAGAGAGAGAGAGAGAGAGAGGTACCTCAGGTTCTCGATGGTGCTCGAGACATGACGCGAGAGATGGAGCTGAGGATAGCAGGATAATAAATTCGCGGAGAAACTCATGGCACGGGATTGAACCCATGGCCCACGTTTAACGTAAACTTTCAATAATCATTCCCATGCAATGATTTCCAAATAGTTTAGTCAGCGTTTTCAAAACACACTGCACCAAATAAACTGCCCCAAAAGAGTTAAAAAACTACGTCGAATTGTTTTCGACACATTAAAAATTTAGATATTAAATATGAAATTAATAAGAACTGTATGCCGCATTAATTTTTAAAAATAGAAGGCGAGGATGCATATTTGGATTCCAACAACTAATTAAGTGATTTATAGAATAGCATAATACATAGAAATAGAGTGGTATTTATGAAAATACATAGAAATAGAGTGGTATTTATGAAAATACATAGAAATAGAGTGGTATTTATGAAAATACATAGAAATAGAGTGGTATTTATGAAAATGTTTCAATAGTTTGTTGCATGTAAATCTTCCAATAATTTGTTATTCATCTCCCTTATTTTTTTATCATCCGGAAATTTCAGCAGAAAAAGGCCAAAGTTCTATTTGGGCTTCTAAGTTGAAATGTGACAAAATATTGGGCTGTTGATATAGATTTATTGGGCTGGGCTTTCATTTATCTTTAATTTAAAATTGTTATTAGATTCAGAGCCCAACGTTAATTAATTATTATACTATACTGCCGGCTGAAGGCGGCGGAATGAAAGAATTGTAAAACGGGCAATTTACATACATCCCACATAATTTCATATATTTACATGTCTATAACTTTTATAAAGCCAAAAATTTATGATATCACGTCGAAAATATCATTATTATTAACTATTTCAGAGCAAAGTACATCATTTTTGTGTGTAATTAAATTTATGTTTTCAGAGTATTATAGGAATCGACACAAATCCAGGAGAAAAACCAAATCCCGAGAGAAAACTTAGGGCGAAGAAAAATAGCAATCGACACAAATCCAGAAGAACACACAGAGATTTAACGAGATTCGACAAAGATGCCTATGTTCTCAGGAGCAGAACGACGACTTTCTTTCAACTTCAGAAAAAGAGTACAAATACAAAATACAACATTGAATCGCTTAGGGTTACAAACATACCTATATATGACCCTAGATAAAACCCTGAAGTATAATGCGTGATTCCCAAATTACCCTTATACCGTATTGCGGGATGTT